CTCCTCCTCCTCCTCCTCCTCCTATCACCCCTCCTCCTCCTCCTCCTCCTCCTCCTCCTCCTCCTCCTCCTCCTCCGCTACATCCGCATCAACTTGCGGGCTCCGCGCGGATTTCTGAGGTCGGATTTCAGAGGGCAGAGCTCCGGTCCCAGACCCCCGCCGATCCTGTCGTTGCAATTTTTGAGTCCGTGTTTTCTTAGACTCCAACAAGTGGGCGGGGGGGGAGCTGAGCCTGGAGCAGACCGCAAACGATTTGCGCGTGCGGAACTCACGCAAGTCGGAAGGCTCTTGCTTGCACGCTAGTATTTTTTGAAGCGGGGCGAGGGGGGTGGGGCGAACGCCATGCAAATTAACTTGCCAGAGTGTAAAAAAAGACCAGCTCTTTTCACAACGGGCGTTTTTGCCCAGTTTCGGGCCCCAGGGCCCTCACAGATCGATGCGATTTGGCAAATAACGCAGAGAGATGGGGTTCAGGGCTCTGGTCGCGATTTTTCGCGATGCTGCATTTTGTTCGTGCAATGTCGGATCTGAGGGAAGTCTGGACCCCTTCCCGAGGACTGTTTTCGTTTTCGTCCCGAGTCGTTTTCTGTTGACGGCCCCGAGGCCCGGTCAGGGCCCCCGGAGGCCGAAAACAGCGAACAACCTCCCGTCGTTTTTTATTTTATTTTTTTCTCCACGGCGCGAGAGGGTCTGGGGTGGCCACCGCGGTCGTCGAGGGCGATGCTGGACTGGACGCCATCGTGCGCCGGTACGTGGCGCGGCTGACGCTCAAGGGCTCGTCGTGCGCCAGGCAGGCGCCGCTGCTGCCCGAGAGCCTCGCCGCGGGCGTGTGCCTGGGGATCAACCGCCGCGGCCCCGAGTGCGAGGCCGGGCTCCTGGGCGCCGCGGCCGCGGGCAGCGCGCGGGGTGGCGGAGGCAGCGTCTGCGTGCTCGCGGTGCGCGAGACGTCGCTGGTGCACTACACCAAGAGGCCGGGCGCCGTCGCGAGGGGCTCGGGCGCTGGCGCTGCGTCCGCCGCCGCACGCGACGCTGCCGCGGCGCTGCCGGGGGGCCCGCCCCCCGTGGAGGAGAAGTACTGGAAGCGCCGCTTCAACTACTTCTCCCGCTTCGACGAGGGGGTCCGCATGGACGTGGCGGCCTGGTTCGAGGTGACGCCCGAGAGCGTGTCGCGGCACATTGCGGACAGGATGCCCTACGGCCTCGTCGTGGACGGCACGTGTGGCGTCGGCGGCAATGCCATCCAGTTCGCCCTGAGCTCGCAGCGTGTGGTTGCAGTTGACATAGATGCGAGCAGGCTCGAGGATGCCGCTCACAATGCCTGTGTGTATGGCGTGCAGGACCGCATCGAGTTCGTGCACGATGACTTCATCCACTGGGCGGAGACTTACCAGGGGCCGACCGTGGACGCCGTCTTCCTCTCGCCCCCCTGGGGAGGCCCGGCGCACCTGGACTGCGAGTGCTTCTCGCTCCGGGACGTCGAGTGCCCAGACATCGTGCGCATGTTCGCCGCTGCGGCGTCAGTGAGCCGCCGGGTTGCCCTGTACCTCCCCCGGCACCAGGACCTGCTGGAGATAGTGACCCTGGCGTCCTCGTTCGGCTTCTCGGCCGTGGAGGTGGAGAAGATCTTCTTCCAGTACCCGACGCCGCACCTCAAGCTCTGCATCGTCTGGTTCACGCCCGAGGCTCGGAGGAGGAACGGGTACCCATAGACCGCTGCTGCCCTTGCCCCGTTTTTCCTTCTTGGGGCCTCTAGGGAGGCCCTCCTCGCCACAGCTGGATTCTCCTCGAACTTCTGGTCAGCACGCGCCCCAGGAGAGGCCTGGGGAGTAGCGGTATATCCGATGTCGTGTTTTTTTTTCAATGCGGGGTCCCCAGAAGTCTCGACCCATTCCCCCGGAGCGGTTATTCATCCTGAGTCGTTTTTGGACGGTCCCGGGGCCCAGCGAGGGCCGCTAGAGGCCGAAAGTCGAGAAAAACCTCCGTCTTGATTTTTTCAATGCGTTGGAGGTCTGGGATGGGCACCTGTTGGATTTCCCCGAGGCCGCGCTGGTGCCGCCGCCGCCGCCCACGGCGGCCAAGGTCGTGGGGCCCGCCACGCAGAGGCGAGCGGCGCGAGGCGACGCGGAGAGCGCGCCGCAGCCGCTGGCCTGCCGCGCCGCGCTGGCCTGGCTCTTCAGCGACCTGCCTCTGGCTGGGCCGCTGCTGCGGGCGCTCTTCTCGGGCCGAACAAAAGGGGGGGATAGGGAAAGGGGGGGGTACGAAGCTGGTTTCGGCCCCGCCGCCTGGGCCCTTCCTCCATACATGGGCGCCGGGAGGCGCCGGGAAAATCAGCTACTACGTGAGCTTATTCTCACCCCCCCCTTTGCTATCCCCTCCTTTCGCCCGGCCCGATCTTCTGCCGGCACCACTACGTCGGCAGGTTCTTCTTGGGCGGCGCTGGCCGTGTTCCAGGCCAGTTCGGTGGACGCTTCCGCGCGTGCTGGCCCAGCCCCCCTCGGGTCAGGAAAGCATCACGACCGGAGGATGTCCAGTATTTTTTGCCGCTGGAGGCCCTTACGGGGCGCTCTGGACCGTCAAAAAACGTCTCGGGATGAAAAGCTGGTCTCGGGGAATGTGTCGAGACCTTTGGGCTTTGGGGGTCGACGTTATGAAGAAATCATGACTTCGGGGGTCTTGGTGGCGCGCGTGGCAGCGTGTACCCCGAGATCCGCCGCAGCGAAAAAGCTGCAGCACCGCGGCAAGTCAGGGCTGCAGCCCGCCCCCTACAGACCCCGCCTCTCTGCGGCATTTTGCGAGCCGGCTCGATCTGCGAGGGTCCCCGCGGGCCCGAAACCCGGCGAAGACGCCCCTTTGTGAAACCACGGCGGCGCCCCGATCTCGGGGCATCGAGCTGGTCTGGCGCACGGCTGGCGTCGCCCGATCCTCGTGGCCCTGGCGGTGGCCGCCGCGCGGGCGGGGCCGGCGCCGCAGCCGGCGCGCGGCCACGGCGGAGCCGGCCGCGGCCCGGCGCCCGATGCCGCCGCGGCGGGCGCTGGGCCAGCTGCTGCGGCGGCCGGCGCGGCGGCGCGGGCGCCCCGGGCGAGGCCGAGCCGCCGCCCGCCCCGGCGTGAGCGGCCCGCGGGGCTCTGGCCGGCCCGGTGGCGCGCTGCCTGAGCGGGCGGCTCGGGGAGGGCCCGGGCGGCGCGCTGGCGCGCGAGCTGGGGCGGCTGCTGGCGGAGCTGCCGCTAGCGGACGTGCTGCGCCTCGCCGCGGACGCCGAGCTCGAGCTCGCCGCGGGCGCCGGGCGCGGCGGGGCGCAGCAGGGCGCCGCTGGGCTCCACGAGCTGCTCTCGCGGCGCTTCCCTGCGCTCGCGCGGCAGGTCCTCGCCGCGCCGCCCGGGGCGGGCGGCGGCGGCGGCGGGGGCGCGGGCGGCCTGGGCGAGGAAGGGCGGTGGCAGAACACCCTGCCCCCCTTGACCTCTCGCCCCCGCTCCTCCTGTCTGCTGCTTCCTCCTGCTTCCTCCTCTTCCTACTGCCTCCTCCTACTCCTACTCCTCCTTCTCCTCGTCCTCCTCCTCCTCCTCCTCCTCCGCCTCCTCCTCCTCGTCCTCCTCCTCCTCGTCCTCCTCCTCCTCCTTTTTCCTGCCTCTCCCGCCTGGAGGAGGAGAGAGGAGGAAACGAGGGAGATGGAAGAGGTGTATGGGAGAGAAAGCGGAGGAGAAGGAGGAGGAGGAAGAAAAGGAAGAGGAGGACGAGGGAGGATAGGGGAGAAGGAGGAGTAGGAGGAGGAGGAGGAGGAGGAGGAGGAGGAGGAGGAGGAGGGGGAGGAGAGAGGAGGAGAAGAAGAAGGAGGAGGAGGAGGAGGAGGAGGAGGAGCAGGAGGAGGAGGAGCAGGAGGCGGAGGAGGAGGAGGAGGCAAACTAGGTGCGCACGCGTCATATCTGACATCCTACCCCTCCCTCCCATCCCTTCCCATGGCTTCGATTTCCACTATTCGCACAATCGGATGTCGCAACATGACATGGCATTACATGGCATAGCATGGTGTTGAATATTAACGCGTAGCATGGCATAGCATGACGTGGCGACGCCCCAAAGTGCGGGGGGGCTTCTGCGGCCCAAAACATCAGCGAGTTGACACCGAATGTGTAATCACTTCCGATGTTTTTTTCGGGAGGCCATTTTTTAGGTTTCGCGGCCTTTTTGGAAGGACGGAAAACCATGCCGTGGCATGGCACTGGAAATATTGACGCCAGCGCTGCAGTGAGAGCACGATTCGGGACGAGTGGAAGCAGGGAAATGAGGCCAGCGCTGCAGCGGGAGCACGATTCGGAACGAGCGGTAGCCCGAAAATGAGGCCAGCGCTTCAGCGAGAGCATCATTTTGAAACAACCATGCGCGGAACGCGGAAATGAGACCAGCATTGCAGCGGGAGCACGATTCGGAATGAGCGGTAGCTCGAAAATGAGGCCAGCGCTTCAGTGAGAGCAGCATTTCTTAAAACAGCCCAAGCGAAAACCCAACTCCCGGGAATCCGGGGTGTAAAAGACCAGTACGCGGAGGGGGGCCGAATAATTCCCGGACGCCAGCAGGGGAGAGAGGAGAGTAACATTCATATCGTGTATAACAGAAAGGAAGAGGAAGCTAAGGAGGAGGAAGAGGAGCAGGAGGAGGAGGAGGAGGAAGAAAGACGAGGAGAAGGAGGAGGAGGAGTTTGAATTGAAGTTGGAGTTAGAGGTGGAGGTGGAGGTGGAGTGGGAGGAGGAGGCGGAGGAGGAGGATGGCGAGGAGAAGGAGGAGGAGGAGTTGGAATTGGAGATGGAGTTGGAGTTGGAGGTGGAGGTGGAGGTGGAGTGGGAGGAGTAGGAGAAGGAGGAGGATTAATAGCAGTAGTAGTACTAGCAGTAGTAGTAGTAGTAGTAGTAGTAGTAGTAGTAGTAGTAGTAGTAGTAGTAGTAGTAGTAGTAGTAGTAGTAGTGGTA